CTACTTTCGCAACATGGGGTCGAGCATTGTCATGCTGCAAAATCACTTTATCGTGTCTCTGTTGTATTGCGGCCGTTTGTCTTTCAATGCTCGGCTCAAACGCATCAATTGCGTTCAATACCGATCGCCTGTGATTCTTTCAGTCGATTTTAACAGTTCATAATACACTACGCCGAGCTGGTCCCATCAAATACAGAGCATGACCTTGGACATCAAAATCACCGTTCTTGAAGCGTTGAAACCATTCACGACACGTTCTTTCACTAATAGCGGCCTTATCGTAAGTATTTGAGAGCATTCTATGAGCCTCAGCCGCAGATTTCTTCATATTGTAGCAAAAAATTAAAACCTCCCGCAAATGAATTTGGCTCGTAAACTGACATTTTCAATCGAGAATAACTTTATGGTGCAGACACAAATCGACTAATGTTTCTACGGGGTTATGTTGACAGATGCCCAAGTTTATTGCATGACGTCTAGATCTATTTATTTCGACCACCACTTACCGCTAAAGCCATCTATAGGAAAACGGCGGAAGCAAAGTTGTACACCTAATAATCTCTGAGACTTAATCGATTGATTATCCTTATGATAATTTATTTAATAAATATTCATGGTTTAAAAGTTATACAAACGAAAGAAGAATTTGAAAATCCAATAGAATTTAATTTTGACAAAACTTTAAGATGTGATATCGAAAGTTGCAATAATATAGCTGTAGTAAAATAGTCGTGATACAAGAAGTTATGTTTAAAACATTTCTTCGAATATCATTACTGCAATGAATATAATGAGTAAATGAATAAATGATACAAATATAAATTTATTGTATAAACTCTCTGATGTTGGACAACATTCACTAATGTTGGAATATGGCTCGATGTTTCATATTTGCTCCATGACGATCACATATAGAGACGTTGGATATTGAAATACGATGTAACAATAAAAATTAACGGCATTAGAATTAAGAAGTATTAAGTTGAAGATAACTCAAAGATGAGTTGTAACGTTCATTCTTATTGTTGTATATTCTTATTGTTTGTATTGATATATATCTTTTAGAATTTACGTTTATTTAACCAGCTCTTATAGCCTTCATGTTTTATATATATTTATTTTTTATTATTCTTATTAATATAAGAAGTCTTCAACAAATTTTAAGTTAATTTAATCGATTATTATTATTATATAAACATTTAAAAATTATTTTATTATTAAGTATAATACATTTAGAAATTATTATCCTATTGTTTCGATGATAATTACTTACGCACATGAGCACAAATAGTGTATATAGAAGTGTTCATGATTAGTTCTTGAAACTGATATGTTGTAATATAACTTTATTATACATTCAATTTGAAAAAAAATAATCTTTAATTTGAAAAAAAAGTTGAAAAAACTAAGGATGATAAGAGCATCTTTAAAAAAAAATTAAAAAATTTTTTTCTTCGCACTTTAAAGTTTTTTAAAACCGTACAACTTTTGTTTAAAAAATTTCTTTCCATCTTTTGTATAATATTTCCGACGACATTCAGCTTGAAAAAAATACCGTTTTTTTTTCAAAGGAATATTTTCATCCCTTAAACATGAGTTAGCACATAAAAAAAATTTGTTCTCTCTGTTAGATTTTTGTGTTTAACAACATATATCACGGAGAATCAAATTGGTTCTGGAGTCCCTTCGATTGTGAAACATCCCTGTAAGATTCACTTGATGATACCAAAGCATTCTTTTATTGATATTTTTTATTGATATTTATGATTATTAATAAAATTCTTTCTTCCGATTACATTGCAGTGAAATGCTTTAAAACATTTATAGTGCCATAAGTGGTACTCAATATTTATGTTACCTGCAAATAACGAAGTTGCAAAGCAGCCGGTGAATCGCCAATAACTTCCGATGCTTCTCGCAGAGCCCTGCTGGCCTTCTGTTCACCTTCTGCGGCAATCACCTAATAAAATAATTATGAAATTGTGAATATATAAAGTGAAGATAAAATAATAAATGCTAAGTTTGCATAAACCATGACTTTGATATATGTTGTATACTCTGAGTAACCCCCAACAAGGCACTTTTAATGCGCTTGTTCTTCTTTAAAAAATTATTAACAGAATGTTTGAAAAATGATGCCTTTTCTCTATTACATTCGTCAACAAGATTATAACATAGGTAAATTTATATTAAAATTTCACATAAATTCAAATAAACGTAACTTCGCGAAAAATGATCGCATTTAAAAGTTTCTTTTTTAATTTTTAAAGGTGAAGTCTGTACTTTACGAATCTTTCAATGGATTTCAAATCCACCCTTACTTTTACCTAACATCTTTTAGAAAATAAGTTTTTTTTTAATAGAAATTTTGATAGTTTGACGCAATCTATGGTGTGGAGTATTTTTTTTTGTTGTGATAACCATCGTAGAATATAGACGTTTCTTTTATAAATTAAAAAAAATTGAACTTTGTATGATTTCTTTCGAAGAGATACAGTGTATCAAACTTATCTTCATTTCATTCAATTAGCCAGCATTAGCATTACCCGATGCATATTACGGGGAGGTTGTTAGTCAGATTTTGCGAATCTTCGTTTTCAGATCTTTTGTAAACGTGTACGCATTTTGATGCAAGCTCTAATTGAAGTCTGAGGAATTTCTCATATTCGGTGCAATATTGCTTTCAATTGCTGCAGATTTGTTCCCCGTTCCTCTAATGTTCGTAATCTTTTTCCCATCATATCCCATACATGTTCAGAAAAGAGAAGAGTTTTACGTGCGATACTTTCAATAAGCAAAACTCACACTTCCATGGACATGGGATTGGAATACCTCCAATCAGCGCATCACGGTTATGCTGAAACTTCCAGTGCGCTCACGGGATGTATTGTAGCAACCAATAAGCAACTCATTAGTAGGAACGAGCGACTATCTACCAACTATGGAGACTGGTTTCCGAGCATGTAAACGCAGCTCACCCGTCGGGATCAGAAGCCCCTAGCCAGCATGTACCATAGTTATCAACTACTACTCCCGCGAATCCTACCTATAAATGCGCGTGGGCAACTGCCCAGTGCTCGCGGTACCGATCTCGATTATCGGTCGGATCTTCGTAGCATAGGCTTCTAGTTTGCGTCGCCTATACGCGCGACACGTCGGCCAGCGCTTTGGGAGCCGCCGGGACTTCCCGAGGACGATTCAAAGAAATCGCTCAGCAATCTGACTCCTAGCCCAAGACCAATCTTTCAAATGAAATCAGCCTCCTCCTTGCGAAGGCTAATATATTGGCTTATCCATGATCTTGAGGCAATCAAATAAATAGATTACCTTATCGAAACATGCCGAATTTATATGGGGCGTCGGTAAAACTCAAATTCAAACGGTAAGTCACGAGTCGAACTCACAAGACGTCTGATCACCGACACCCAATCCATACATGTTTAATGGGATTAAATCCACGCTCATTAGAGGATGTAGTAGTATCTCGATGCTTTATTTTGATATAAAATAATATTCGCCCACATACCGCCAGAATTGCAATTAACTTTCTCAAAGAAAATAACATTGAGATGCTACCACATTCATCAATGAGCGCGGATTTGAATTCCATTGAATATGTACGATATGATGGAAACAAGGCTACGAAGATTAGAGAAAGATTAGAGAAACAAATCTTCAACAACTGGAAGCAGCATTGCTTCGAATATGCTGGGAAATTCCTCAGGTTCTAATTAGAGCTTCAATATGCATCAATATGCGTATACGTTTAAAAGAGGTCATCTGAAATCGACGCGGATGATTTGCAAAATCCGAACAGCAACCTCCCTGTGGTGCGTATCGGATAATGCTAATGCTGACTATATAATTGAATAAAATGCATAAGTTTGATACACTGTATTTCTTCGAAAAGAATAATCGTACAAAGCTTAATTTTTTTAATTTGTAGGAGAAACTCCATATTCTATGATGATTATCATGATCATGATATTTACTCCATCCTGTAGATCCTTGCATCAAACTATGCAAATTTCTTAAAAAAAAATACATCCTTTTTTGGCACAAGATGCAAAGGATAAAGATTCAAAATCTATTAAAAGCTTCGTAGAGTACAGACTTTGAAAATAAAAGAAAAAACTTTTAAATCCAATCATTGTTTGCGGAATTATGTTTATTCGAATATATTATTCGTTTATGCGAAATTTTGATATAAATTTACCTATGCTATAATTTTGTTTAACGAGTGTGTATAAAACAGGAACTTTCTGTTTTAAAATTATATATTTTATTGTATGATTATCTTCGCAAAGTGAAATCCACCTCTCTTCCTTTGCCAAATGGCGTCCGATTTTCCACGTAAAGCGAGATTCATCTCATCTCTCTTCTGTCTAGGGGAGAGATGAGAAAGTGCGGAGTGAGCCTAAATCGCTCATAAGCAGAAGGGGACATGAAGTGGATCTCGCTTGTAAAAAATTGTACACCCCTAGGCAGAAGGCTCTCATCTTAACAGGAAGTGAAGGTAGAACTCTCTTCGCGTGGAAAGTTCTGCGTCCCTTGGCAGGGGGGGAAATGAGATGGATTTTTTTCCTCTTGTCTTGTTCTTCTCCTCTTTACTTCCAGAGAGAAACAAAATCAACATTATTCTATTCTAAATAATTTCATGTAGAAAGAACACATAAAAACGAGAAAGGGCTCTACCCCTCCCCCTGTATCCCTATCCCGATTTAATACTAATCTGATCCAACTCTTATCTGATTGAGATTGACCTTGGTTCGTGTGGGAAGTCGTGCGCCTCTAAACAGAGACAGCGGGATGGAATTCGCTTCGCGGCCGTATTCTCTTAATTGGTCCATCCCATACCTCTCTCTCTGCCTTGAGTTATTTGAATTTTTATGTAAAACAGGGATATAATTATTAACATTATCTGTTAATAATCTTTTAACGAAGGAAGAGCGTTGACTAAAATTTGTTGAGTGTTACTCAGGATTACGATCTTAACAACATATGTCAAAGTCAAAATCATCTGTGGTTGCTCTCTTTTCATGCATCAAATAAATTTTAAACACATAAATAAAAGGAAGAGTCACAACGCAAGATGTTTTAATGAATGTCATATATGTCAAATATTTACGTTAATTATATAAAGATCATAAATGTTTCGATCACAATCTGGCCATCTTCAATATCAATTAATAGTTAAATTAACAAAGTAACAAAGAATACAAATATAAATTTCAAACATCATATAATTTAAGTTGTAATTCGTTGTCATATAAATTCGCGATAGGTATCAGATTATTAAACTTATTTGATTATGATATAAAATTTTAATGCTCCTGAGTGCTCCAAGTACTCTGTGTTGATGGTGGCGACACAGAATCAGACAATGGTCTGGCGAAACTGGTAGCCACACACTCAAGCACGAGCCTATGTATGTGTGCTCGCCTTCAGCACATCGAGAATGAACAGCGAGCCGTTCTTCTCGCTCTAGTCGCTTGTTTCAAGCGATCAAAAATGCTTTCTCGGCAATCTCAACCATTCGGCACTCGGTATCAATAAGAGGCGAGGGACATTCTAAATAACATATAAGTTTTAATAAATTGTAATAATAGTGTATCTCTCGCATTAAATCAGAATAGTATAAATCATGACGCAAACAGTTTACGAGATATTTAAATGTTTATGATTTTTCATGCGCGTTATATATTACATGGGATTTTTAATGAAAACAAGCGTTTTTTTGGACAAAGTTATATTTATTCCTCAACATAGTTGCCTTCGAGGGCGATACACTTGGTAGCGATTTTCCAACATTTCGATGCCCTTTCTGTAGTACGAAACGTCCAAGCCTTCGAAATACGCCTCGGTTTCCGCGATGACTTCCTTATTCGATGTGAATCTCTTTTTCTGGAGCCACCGCTTGAGGTTTGGGAACAGATAATAGTCGCTGAGGGCCAAGTCTGGAGAATACGGTGGGTGAGCAATCAATTCGAATCGTAATTGGCCATCGAATTTGGCCATCGCTTTCAAGGACGTGTGTGACGGTGCGTTATCGTGATGGTACAAAACGAAGGCGAAAGCGCCATTTAAACGACTGTAGCTTGTAAACGAATGAACGAAATGTCATGAAACTTCATACATAAACTAGTGACAGATGAACCTCTCGAAATGAATCATGTTCATTTTCTAGTGGCGCCACCTATTGAAAAATCCCGAGACTTTTCAGCTCATGTAGTATCTCCTTCGTAAACTTGAGCAAGAATAGTTTAATAGAAGTAGAATTTTACTAGAAAAAAAATTATGAACTAGTATTTCTCTTCATGAAAATCTTCGGAAGGCATCAGAAAAGAAATGCGTATGTTGGAGACTCGAACTTGTGAAGGAAATATCGAATAGTTACAAAAGGTATGTTTTTCGCTTATGAAACGAAAGATATTGATTGCATAGAAAAAAGTTCGATATGAAAAATTTAGATGTTCGAAATACAAAATGAAACATGAAACATTCGGTCTATTAGTTAAGTAGAAAGAAAATAAAAACTACCAAAAAAAGCCTTTTCTTCATTCGCTCTCTGTTCATTGAGATTTAAATGCAAAGCTTTGAAATTCTCATAAAATGTAGTCCTCGTAATGAAAAAATGTAGCCCTGAATGAGCCTGAAATGTTCATTAGTTTTTGCAAAAAACCATTTGTTCACTAAAAACTCGTCTGCAGAAAACTTAATTACTTCATCTTTGAGCAGTCGCATTAGCAATTTACAGGGATGATTTTTCTTCTTCAAGAATTGCACTATCGTACACATAATAATAAAATGATTTTTTGCAATTAAATTTTTAAAATGAATTTAAAAAATAGATATCTTTTTTTCGTTAAAAAAATCTAATAATTTTATTAATACGCATCATATCAAACAGCCGTGTGAAACACGACAGCTGACATGTTTTTACGAAGTTTAAAAAAAAGT